AAGAGGACTACACGTCCCGGCAGTCAGATGGCTCTTTGGACGTTCCCGAGGCAGCCGATCTGGCGGCTGAGATTGCGCGGTCGGGCATGGAGGAGGCGCGGATCTCCGCGGCGGGGCTGACGGAGGAATCGCCCTGAAGAGAGTCGAAGCGGTGGGAAGCCCCTTCCGGTGCGGGGAAGCGGGGGAGCCGCCGTGGTGCTGTAGGTTTGATGCAGGTGAGGGTCGGCGTCGGCGGGATCGAGGATCCCTTGCTAGAAGGCGGGCTGGGGGGCGCATCCCTTTGTCTGGGCTTTTCTGTGCGGTCCGAGCCCTCGGAGGGAGGCAGAAGACCGAAAGGGGAAGCGAGCGAGCGAGGGGCTCCGGAGATTTGGGGGGTGTGTGGGTGAACCCCTTTGTTTTCCGCCATGGGGAGAACCCGGGGGGCGGGGCGGATCCGTGGGGATCCAAGCTAGGAGCTCTTTCGTTGCAAGGGGATCGTCCGGTCGTCCGACCCCGCGGGATTGGCGGCGTCCCTCCAGGCTGCAAAGTTGCTCTTTAGGGGAGGTTGACTGATTGACAAACCCGAAGGCCTGCCCGTTTTGAAGTGGGGGTAGGTGGGTGGGTGGGTGCTGAAGGGGGTCCCTGGGTTGGCGAGGAAGAATAAATGCAACCCGGGGCCATTTTCAAGGAAAGGAATTCTGTACGTTTGTGATTCTTGTTTCACTCAAGGGCACCGTGAGTGGAAGGAAGATCGTTATTAAATGTGGTGAACCGAGTTGCAAGGCAACTCAACTTTGGGAAGGGATAAAGGAAATCAAAGCCAAGGCCTTAAGTTTTGCACTTCTGAATACCCTGATCCAAAAGGGAAGCTTTTTTATTTGCATTAAACCGATGTCAAGCCGGTATGCATCTTTTACATTGTCCTGGAACAAGCTACTGTTTAGCATAGGGAGCCAATTGTATTTTATTATTATTTTTTAAAATAATTTTTATTGAACTTTTTCCCATTCAAAAAAACAACACATAAAACAACAACACATATAAAAACAACATATTTACAGTCTCTGCAACAACATTTCCATTTAAGTCAGTATATATATATTTACATTATTCTTTTTATTACTGCAATCTAACCAATGGCACCATTTTCCCCATACCATATAGTGTTCCATGTCTTTTCTATCTTGCAATTCTAGTGTGAATTTGACCATTTCTGCGCAATCCATTATTTTCTTTATCTGTGGAAATACTATCCAGTTTCCAACTTTGTACATCAGTTATTCTTGCCGCTGTTAGTACATGTATTATGATATATTTAATTTCTTTCTTAAATACCCCTCTGATTATCCCTAAAAGAAACATTTCAGGCCTAAGTTCTATTTGGAGACCAGTAATTTCTTGCAACCATTTCCTTATTTTATTCCAATATTTTTTTACTTTGGGGCAGGACCACCACACGTGAAAGAAGATACCTTGCTTATTTTTACATTTCCAACATTCTGGGTTTATGTTAGGGAATATTTTAGCCAGTCTTGCTGGTGCTAGATGCCAATGGTAAAACATTTTATAAAGGTTTTCTTTATAGGCAGCAGCCATTTTTAATTGATAGTTTTTGTTCCACAGTTTTTCTCATTCCTCTTTGTATGTTATGACTGAAATTTCTTGCCCAGGCTATCATTGTTCCTTTGACTACTTCTTCTTCCCTATCAAATTTAAGTAGGTAATTATATATTTTAGTTATGAATTTTTCTTCTGGTCCTAGAATTTTTTTGTCAATTTGTTGTTTTTTATATATCCCAAATTCCTCTTGGTCTTTTTTCTTTTGTATCTTGTCTGCAATTGTAGATAGGTCCACCAATCTATAATTATTCTCTCTTCTCTCAGTTCTTGGTTCATCTTCAATCTTCCTTGGTTATCTAGCAGTTGGTTGTATCTAATAATTTTGGTCATATCTAATGTATTTGGATAAATCATTGCTTCCATTATAGAAAGCCAACCTGGTATTTTGATGTAGTGGGTTTTTTTTTTTACCCCAGACCTGTAATAATGCATTCCTAATTAAATGCTTTTGGAAGTGTGAATGTGTCTTGTTCTTTTTTTCCTATAAAAAGGTGTGCCATCCTATTTGTAAGTCTTGTCCTTCTAAAGTTAGTATTCTCTTGTTATTTAGGGATATCCACTCTTTAATCCATGCGAGTGCTGTTGCGTGATAATATAATTCCCAGTCAGGGAGTCCAAAGCCACCTCTACTTCTACTGTCCTGTAGTAATTTTAGCCTTATTCGGGGCGTCTTCCCTGCCCATACAAATTTGGTTATCACCTTATTCCATTCCCCCCAAAAAATTTTTTGTCTAATTTTATCGGAATCATCTGGAATAAATACAACTATCTTGGTTTTTTTAATTGAAGCCATTTTTCCTACTAATGATAGTTGTAATTTTTCCCATGTTTCCAAATCTTTCTTTGTCTGATTCATTAGTTTATTGTAATTATCTTCCTTTATTGATGAACATCTTGCTGACAGCCAGATTCCTATATATTTAATTTTGTTTGTAATTTGCAATTCTGTTTCCTTTTCTATTCTCTTTTCTGATTTTTCTGTAAGATTTTTAACTAATATTTTGGTTTTATTCATTTTAAGGCCTGCCACTTCACCAAATTCTTCTATTTCTTTTAGTAATATTGTCCCCACGTCAATTGGATTCTCTATATATAAAGAATACCAGATCATCCATGAACGCTTGTGATTTGTACTCTTCTTTTTTTAATCTTGATTCCTCTATTTTATTTATTGTGCAGGTAGTCCACTGACTTTGCTTGTCAGAAGATCGCAAAATATGATCACGTGACTCCCAGGATGTCATAAATATGAACCAGTTGTCGAGCATCTAAATATAGATCACATGGCGGTGGGGATGCTGCAGTGGTCATAAGTGTGTAAAACGGTCATAAGCCCCGCACTTTTTTCAGTGCCGTTGCAACTTTGAATGGTTTAATTTACCACTGGTTAATTATTCTCACTTTTAGGAAGTTTCTCCTTAATTCGAGGTTGCTTCTTTCCTCGGTTGGTTTCCATCCATTGTTTTTTGTCTTGCCTTCTGGTGCTTTGGAAAATATGTTGATTCCCCTCTTCTTTGTGGCAGCCTCTCAAATACTAGAATACTGCTATCGTGTTCTTTTCTCTGTACTAGCCAAACCCAAATCCTACAACCATTCTTCATATGTTTTTTGTCTCCAGGCCTTTAATCATCTTAGTTCTTCTTTGCTTTTTCCAGAGTCTTAACAACTTTTTCTGTGGTGACTAAAACTGGAAACAATATTCCAGGCGTGGCCTTACTAAGGCTTTATAAAGCAGTACTAATACTTCACGTGATTTTGATTCTATGCCTCTCTTTATACAAGCGAGGGTTGCATTTTTGACTGCTGCCACACACTGTTGGCTCATATTTAAGTGATCGTCCACTAGGACTCCGAGGTTCCTCTACCAGGTACTGGCCCAGTTTGGAGAGACAAGGAGGCTGAATCCATTTTCTTTGTCCTTTCAGAGGTTGGTGTCATTTAAAGATGTGGCCGTATATTTCACCGAGAGCCAGGGGGCTCTACTGGATCCCACCCAGAGAGCCTTATACAGAGAAGTCATGGTGGAGAATTACGAAAATGTGGCCTCCTTAGGTACGAGTCTTCCTCCTTTCTTTCAGCTGAACGGATATTAAAGGGCTGTGATCAATCTCCACTTCTCCCTTGTATTTTCAGGACAGTGATTTTTAATTTGATTTTCTGTCAAGGGTTTCCTGTGCCGAAGCCAAATCTCATCTCTCGTCTGGAACGAGGAGAACCACCTTGGTTGTTAGATTCTCAAGGGTTGGATGCCAACAGCTCAGGTGAGAGATGAAAAAAATACCATCATCATCGTCACCCTCATTTAACGACCCCATAATCCCTTGCGGGGTGGAGTCTGGGCAACTGAATGGAGCTAGCAGAGCATTTAAGGGCTGGATGCCCTTCCTGTCACCAATGTGTAGCTTCGTTCAGCAAATATATTGTGCCTAGAGAGTGGAATATCTGCCTCTATCTAGGATCGAACTCACAGCCTCCTCAAGTGAATTACAGTAATGCAAAACCAGAACTGAAAATCGCATGCCAAACCCCACCCCAAGTCTGACTTTTCCCTCCCTCAGGTACCTCCCATTGCTGCCTCCCCAATGTCCAATCAAATTAAGAGATGTTTTTAGAACGGTCACTTCAAGTGTGGGTTGGTATACAGCTGAGTTCCATTCCCAGCCGGCTGACTTTGAAGCCGCGTACGGTCAACTTTTCGTTTCCCTTGAATCCTTCCCCCTCCAATCCACTCCCCCTAGAGTTCATGGCAGACTGGTACCAAGCGGTATCAAAATGCAAGGGTGAGGTGGCAGCCGACCCCTGGATTCTAGTCTGGTTCCTTAACCACTAGACCAAACTGGCTCTCATACTGATACCATTACATCTTTTGTCTTTCAATCTGCAAATTTAATGAGTATCCCACATGGTAAGATTTTTCTACATGCTGCCCATGAATTATTCTGCAGGTTTCTTGAATTTGTTACAATCCATCTTTGTTTAAGATCCAGATATTATTTATTTGAGTACATGTTCCTTTTCTCTTTTTAAACCTTCTGTGCCCAGATTGTCTGATTTCTCTCTGACCTTCGTTTCAGCACAATTCTGTTTCTGTTATGTGTAATAGAGCTACCATCTCCATTTCCTTTTCTTTCTGACTTTATTCCAAGAATAATTTTTGGAATATATTTAATAGGCTTATCCTGCCATTCTAGCTTAAGGGCTGTACTGTAGCATATTTATCATTGGAATTAACCTTAAACAATGTTTTTCACACACACACAAACACACACACATACACACACAACTTCTATATTGTATTGAAACAAGTTCTATTCTGAATGTTTACATTTTAAATCACATGTTTGTTGAAACTTACTCAGTTCACATGCAAATAAATATCTCATTTGTGATAGGATAGAGGAAGTACCTTCTGTTGATGGCTACTGGCTTTCTCCCCTTTTCTTATCATTTTTTAAAATTCTGTTAGTTATTTTTAACGAATAAGAATTTTATCCCTAATTTTCATCAAACATATTTAGAACATATTATGACGTTAAACATAAAATGAATTCAATGCCACAAATTTCTTTAGAATCACAAGCGATGCAATATAAAGAAATTGTGTAAAACACCGTAAGTTTTATAATAAACTCTGAATAAAGCACATATTTAGGTTATTCAGTTTTACAATAACCTTCAGTCTTTTCTGTTGGAATTAACTGTAATAGTGCCAATTAAGAATGAACACTAAACTATACTAGTCCAAACAAATCTAAAAATGAATATAAGAATTAAAGTGCAAAAAATCAGTGAAATTAGAAAAGGTCCAAAATAAAGTAAAACTAAGGACAGCCATAATAGAAGTAAAGTTTCTCTGTGAAGTTCA